TGAATCTTCTTCTTGCAAATCTTCTTCTTCTGAAAACCACTTGGGATTGATTGATTGACGTGGTTTTGAGTGCACTGTATACTTGGACAGAACTTGGGTAAATTCGAAATTTTTCATCGAATCAATAAATATCGAATAAATTCGAGAATAAGAAAATCTCGAATAAACGAATATTGCATAAATTCGAGGTTCAAAATTTCCCGAATGAATGAATTCCAAATAAATTCGGAAAATCAAAAATATCGAATGAATGAATATCGAATATATTCGAACATTGGAAGTCGAATTTTGAAAAATATACGAATGATTTAACGAATAACTAGAGCAACTATATCTCAAACTTGCCGACTTATCTGGCTAAGGCCGATTCAATCATAATCTGCACCCTCGTATCCCATATACCAACTCCTATCTCAAAATTTGCCAAAAATCGCTGAAATCGATGTAATAAACTTTGGTTTTGATCAGCATCCTCATTCCCCCCCCCCCCCCGTACCAGCTTCCAACCTCGTAGTTCAAGAGTTTCCAAAAATCGACAGTTTCGATAAAGTAAATTTCTATCCTTTAATCAGCACCCTCACTTACCCCCTTGTGTCAACTCCCAGCTCCGTAGCTCGAAGGCAGCTACGAAGGCGAAGGTAGCTACAAAGGCATGTGGTTTATTCCGCGAAGCGAGCACGAATGCCCTTAGCTCCAGGCATATTGCAGGCATTTCAATGGCGACGTGGTTTCGCAAGAGTCACATTCTCCAGTACTTGTTCTAAAAGTACAGAATGCAGGGCATTAATCTTTTTAGTAATTTGTACACGCTAAACATTTGTGATAAGCTGGCGTTACATTTGAAGACATCTCGTAACTGGCAAATCGCCTACGGTGATCTAAAAGTCTAATCCTCTACTACAACTACGATGTCCTTTACTCAAAATACACCAATTCGCAAAAAATCCCTAAGGTAACGAATAGAGGCAGTTGTGCAATATAACTTATGCAAGCAAGAGTGCTTACTAGTGTGGGCATTGCGTACCGCAAGCATGAGCAATGCAAAAAAAGAAGAACAGGTGTTTCAAAACACCTTCAATATATGAACTCGGAACATGAGCTTGAATTTGATAGCTTCTTTGCTGATTTGGTGCCAATAGCAGTGCGAACAATCTCATTGATCGAAAAAGCATCAATTGAAATCTAGATATGATTTTATTACTGTTGCAAGCAGTCGGAGGAATGCGACTCTTCATGCAGTTCAAACGTCATAACGGTTGCAAAAGATGCATCACCGAGTTTTGCGAAAAAAGAAACGCGGACGAAGTGAGCTTGATACTCAGCATTTGAGTCTGCAACGAAGTCGAATAATCCGAACACGGAGTTCATTCAAATACGATTTCGAATAAAGCATTCGAATAATCTATTCGAAACCCCGTTTTTTGATTATTCGAGTTTTCGAAATTTTCGAAATCCTGTGTTTTGATTATTCGAGTTTCGAATTTTATTCACGTTTTCTCAATTATTCAAGTTTCGAATATTATTCGAAAATGGAAGAACTCCGAATATCTAAATTCGAATACGAATATATTCGAATGTTTTATTTGAATGATCGAATTTCTATTCGATTCGGACCCAAGTATAACGCACTGACTACAGGGAATGCATACGTACATACGTCGAACACATGAATGACTGTTTTCGATCAAGTAGTTTTCAAAGATGTGGCACTGAACGTTCGCCAAACTTGTTCGAACGCTCATAAATTGTTCTAGAAATAAATAGCTTAGCAGATATTGAAGCTAAAATTGGAAACAGTTCATCAAGACGCATCCAATGCTATGCATATCAATTCCTTTCGCCACTGCGATCTGTATTTTTCCCTTGTCAGTAACTTCTTGATGGTTTTCGAAAAGCGTTCCAGGTTTAACTCAAAAGTCAATGAGGCGCACTCTCCGCAGGCTCGCAGTCTTATCAAAAGCCGGTCAAGGTCTGCGTTGCGTCCTTTTCGATGGGCCAGTCACAGCTTCATATGCGCTTCCAGCCTCTTACCGTCATAAACTCATTCCTTCTCGCGGCATTGCGGCAGACCTTCTTTCCCAGCTTTCAACTGCGTGCCTTCGCTCGAAGGAGACGGTGATCGGAGCCACTGCAGAAGGATGGAACTACCCGGGCATTGAACAAGCTCCAACATCGGTAGTTAGGAATGTAGTCGATCTCCACGTAAGAAATTCTGTTGGGCGATTCCCATGTTCACGGGCGGGCTAGTTTTTCATGAAGATGGAATTTCCAGAAGCCCAACGAGACGGTCGCCGTTTTTGCTTTGAAACCCATATTCAAACTCCCCGATCCTATATTCCTCTGTAATGGCATCACAAACTTCGCGTTGAAGTGACCCACTACAAACTTGTAGAAGGAATTCTTGTTGGTACAAGACTTCCTTCAAGTCTCTGTAGAAAGCTCCAGTCCTGATTCGTAGCACCTGATGTTGGAGGTAACAGTTGATGATACTGATGGGCTATTGAGGTAGAGGTTGTAGTCGTAGGATGGCTAGTCGAGACGATAAGATTTCCAGCGAATCGACAAGATGGACGATAAATGGGTGGATGACAAAGCCAATGTCTCCAACGTTTCGTGATGAAAGTTTTTTAACGAATGATGAGGGTCCCATCGCTTTCGGCAGGCGGTCAGCGGAGTTTTGTGGCGTGGCCAAACATACAGCAAGTTTTACTTCTTTTGTTGTCGCATGTTCTGCCAGCGGGCAGCAATACAGCATTTTCTGCAAGCGCCCGGCAAAAAAATTCTTTCAGCAAGTGCTGGCCAAACTTTCAGCAGGCGCTCGGAATCTTTACGCAGTTTCGGGCGTACGCCAAGCAAAGATGAGACACTATGTGACAGAGGTGCCATCGATGGTTTGATTACCCGAGTTTAGGGTACCTTATTTCAGCGGAAGGTACCTACGGGCTGCACGGTCCTTCACAAAGAACCGTGCGGCCCCCAACAATTTTGCATATTCTCGCGGAAAGTCCGCGAGAATGCGGCTACTGTGCCGCAACTAATCTATGGAAGGACTGCGATATTTCTCCGAGCGTTCGTCTAAAAATTGGCCAAAATTATTCCGAATTTCTGTAAGCGGACCGCAAGAAATCAGCGAACTATTTTCCGGTACCCGCTTGCACAAAATTCGCATGGCCGCTTGCCCCGGCGATTATATGAGTAGATAATTGCCGTGGGCAGGCGGACACGCGATTTACGGGCAAGCGGGCATCGGAAGAAATAGTTCGATCTCTTGCGGACCGCTTGCAGACATTTGAAAGAATGCTGAGCAAATGTTATATGAATGTTGAAGGACAATTCGGGCTTTTTCATAGATTAATTGCGGCGCAGTGGCCGCATTGTCGCGGACTTTCCGCTAGACAAAATTATTGGGGGCCGCACGTCCTTTGTAAAGGACCACACAGCACAGCCCCTAGGTACCTATCGCTGAGAGAAAGTACCCCAAACTCGGGTAATCGAATCAACGATGACACCTCTGCCATAAAGAGTATTACCGTTGTTGTATGTCCAAAACTGGTGAGTGTCAGAGCGCTTGCTAAAAGGAATTATTTGATGACCGCTCGCAGAAAATTCTGTATTGCTTCCCGCTGGCGAAACTGCGACAGCAAAGGAAGTATCGCTCGCTGAAGGTGCGGCCATGCCCAAAAATACTGCTGACGCCCTGCAAGAAATAACGCGAGTTTGCGGTCCGATTGCCCCCGCGATTGTTGAGCAGACTAACACTGTATATCGCAGTTCGACGCCCAGGGCCACCTCCCACGTCACGAAGGCGGCAGGACTACCTTTCCGGCCACATTCAAACTTGCGAACAGTCATAACTTATTTCAAAAACTTATTCCGCAGAAAAGGAAAGTGATATAGTTGTCATGTAGAAAGGCCGCTTCGACTAAAAACTTTCTTGTGAGTAATTGCCTATGTCCCGCTGTGATAGGTGGCAACGAGAAAAATGCTTCAGAACCTGCAGGCACCTACGTCTCGCCCATCAACATGGGTAATTTAAAAGTAATGTGTAGATCCGGTTTTCAGGTAGCTGGATATGTCGAAAATCTGTCTTCCAGCATGAAAATCAAATTCCTGACATTCAGCACACAACACTTTTGGACGGATTTGGCACGTACCATCTGAGGCGATTCCCTTGCTCGATTGGTTTGCAACGGGACTTTGGTAATGACTTAGTCAAACAGGCCCCTCTCATATACCATCAAAATCTCACAAGCACTTATTTAGGTGCCCGGTGCCTTTAAAAGCCGGGCATACATTACGAGATTTCATCGCCGCGCGGTCCTTACGGCAAGGAAACTTTTACGAGTTTGAATGCCGATCATCTTGCTTGGTTGTGATAGTTTTTAAATGCGATAGCGACGGACTTACAGTTGAAATGCAAGGTCATCGGTATGTATTTGACGCGTAACAGTTTTGTCGAGCGGAACACAAAATCGTGTGATGTATGCCCGTCTCCTTGCAGTTGTTTTGGCAAAAATTATTTTGCGTACCGAGATGGGAACCATAAATTATTAGTAGATAAACTTTGGATCTTAACCACAACGGATGTACCAAACTTTTTTATGAGGTTGGATGTAACTTCTTGTCTGCTAATGCATTAACACCTCAACTACTATTACGAGTGCACAACTGCTTGCTTCCAGCCGCGTCTGAAACCGCAAAGCAGTTGATCATCGTCTTTCGAGGGACCATATCGATGGTAGTCCAACACATTCGCTAAAATACATCTCAACTCTTTGTTGCCCTAGAGTCAACTACTGTTCGAAGCATGGGAGTCCACAAAACCGGGAAAAAATTTCTTGGGTATGGGAGATGTAAGTTTCTTCAAATTTGTGATGCTTGCTCTCAGTACAATAAAAAGTAGAAGCACTATAGTAATTTATGAGGACTCTGTTCAAAGAAATTTTCCATGTAATATTCCGTTCACTATTCTCAAGATCATATAATCGCTTTTATTTCAGGTAAACAGGTACTTTCTAAACGGTCATCAAGTGATGTGGGAGTTTTTGAGAGATGTGCTCAAAGATCCAGCGTATGAGGTGAGGAAATCATTCTATGGTAGAGGCGTAAAAATTAAGAGAAAAAACAAATCAAAAATTACTACGTTAGAACCATTTTGAAGTTCTGGACGATAAGTAGGATTGAGCGATTTTGTACTACAATCAGCTTTTACATAAACACTTCACGGCACGCATAGTCTGGACGCAGTTGCGGTGGACTAAGATAGTTTGTGCTTGAAAGAGACGGCAGAGCGTAAGAGGTATGATAGTGTGCTTGTCAAAACAACTACGTATGCAGTGGCGCCCTATCTCTACGTGCTACTCGCCTATAGTATCCTATATTTTTTGCTTTGACTTATAAAATGTGTACGAATTTTTATTATATTGCCATAGAATTTGATATATAGGGCTACAAACTCATATTCACCGGCCACTCACTTGGAGGAGCTCTTGCGGTTTTGGCAGCAGCACGAACAGTAAAAGAAGGTATGTAAGAAAATATGTTGGAAATTAGAAATTAAATTTGATTCTCAATGTAAAAATAATGGAAAAATAGTTTTGAATAAGAACAAAAATAGTCTTCATGCTATCACATGAGGCCACAGAGTGCCACATTCGAGAATGGAATTAGTTCGAAAACAGACTCTTTCAAAAAAAAAACCACCTCCTACACCACGAATACATGAGACAAGTGCTGCATGTTTTCTTGGGTCATATGAAATAAAAGGTGTTTGAGGTTTGGTAGATCCTCAAATGATTCGATTATCACGACTTATATTAGCACCCGAAAAATACTTTGGAGAGAACGAAAATGGCATAAAAGTGCACTTCCAACGACCACTTTTTAACTTTGGACGAGCAGCAACAGAGCAGACAATGTTGCAGACGCAGAGCCGCTACGGGACTCTTATACAATGGAATGTGGAATGCATCTCTAACAGTGCGAGAAATCGCGAACTCGGCTGCCTGAGCAAAAACAGGGCCGATGTTGCAACAAAGTCCCCCCTGCTGCTCGAGCGAGCTTATTTTGCAATAAAGTCCTCATGGAAGAGCTCTGCTGCATGTCTTGATGTGGCGCCAGTGAGGGGGGGGGGGACATCTTGTACGTCTTATATAGCGAAGTTCCCAAATTTTCAAAATTGTCGAGCTACTTCCTTTATGGCATCTGCAATTGCAAGACTGCGAACAATAAGTGCTAAAAAGCTCACCACAGACTTCTTAAGGTACAATGTTTTTTTTAGGGTATCGACCGGGTAATGAGATCACAATCTATACATTTGGTGAACCTCGAGTAGGTGATCTAAGATTTGCTGAAAGCTTTGACCAAATAATACCAGACAGGTGAAGAAGTACTATCCTCTATATTTTAGGTGTACATATGGTGATTTAGCTATCGTGTCGTATTCCGACGTGACTGCGTACCTCATCTGCCAGCATGCTTCAAGAACATGAGCTGGACCGGCGACGATGAAGCTAGCAGACCATGTGACCGCGATAAATTGCATAGACCGTACCATCATAGTACGGAGATTTGGTGAGATATTTCAGAGAGAGAACCGCTAGCTGACACATCTTTTGTAGACAATCTGAGATATTCCGTTAGCAGTTATGAAAGTCGATGTTTTCATCTTTTTAAATATTCATAACTCAAAAGGCAGGACTTGAGGAAATTAAGAGAGGTATGAAAAACTTTATCTCATTGGTTTGAGGAACTTGAGAGAGGAATGAAAAACTTTATCTCATTAGTTCGATCAGTACATTCCAACTTTTGATGAGTACATTAGTCTAACGAGATTGCAGGCCTAAAACCTCTATGTGGCCGAGATATGTCTTCACCTAAGATATAAATTCTTGCAACCCCCCCCCCACAATGCGTCGTTCAAGTCGAGTCCTTTCATTGGTTGCCGAATAAGGGTGTTAAAGGATAGTATATGCACAGGCTCAATTTTATGAAGGGATGATCTTGCTAGTAAGTTTTGTTGCCGTATAAATTTTTTTGTATGCTCTGCGAGCAATAACTTTCTGCGAATAGAGTCGATGAGTCCAAAGTTGGAGGTGCTAGAGTAAAGCAAGAGCTTGCAGGGCCATCCACTAGTTCCCTCTTCACCGCTTGTGTCATGTTCAAAATTTTCATGATTTGCAAATAGGCATGCACACATGCACTCCCTCTTATTATTTCTCTGATAACCAAGGAACTGCCAAACACATTGAAAGTAAGGTCATAGAAAAAGTTGAATTTGAAAAAAGTTATGACATTTTATGTTCAAAAATCCAAATCGGACAGAACTTAGACAGCAGCTGATATATCGAGACCCAGAACCAAACTTGAATAATTAAAATTTTACTTTACTTGAAGTACATGATGAAGATGACGATCAAAATAAGTGTAACAAAGATAACATCCAAATCTGCATCAATTGTAAAATTTGATGGTTTTGCTGATTTACATCAAGCTTATCGATTATCTCCGTAGATAAGCATTTGAAGTGTGAAACAATGTAAGTTACCTAAGACATGATTGTTTGAGCGACCTTATGACTTTGACCCCTTCACACGCAGTTTCTCGTGAATTTGCAATCGATTTGTTTTGAAGGTAGGTCTTTGGAACCAGTGCAAATACATTTATTGTCCGCATTTCTTAAAAAATTTAAGTGTAGTATGTTTATTCTGGACTATGTTAAGCTGTAGCCGGTATTTTTTTTAAATGAGTGGCCTTTGTTCAAAACATTATCAGAATGGTTTTTACGTCAGCTATCATCTCGTATCTTTCCTTTTTTTTCCTAGACCAAAATTAGTTCTTTGCAATCCTACTTAGCACTGTCGGGATTCAAGCACTTAAACGTGCATTTTCTCCACCAAATTGAACTAGAGGCACATGCGCTATATGATCGGAACTTGACTTTTGATGAAAAAAAAATTATGCTGATTAGATGTTTCGGCAATGGTAATAACAACTGGTTTTGTGGTTAATATGAAAAAGAATTTGATAAATACTAATTAGGAACACAAGAAATTCAATTCCTTTTTGGTTCATTTTTTTCTACACTATCCGGTTTCGGGTAGAACTATACCGGTAGTGCGGCTTCCTTGGTGTCCCTCGTCAGTAGTTCCCAAGAAAGCTTCAAAATTATCAAATCAAAATCTAAGATGAGGTGTAACCTGGAAAATTGGCGTATAAAGAAGTTGAGTAAAGAAGGTGCAAGTTTCGTTAACAGAACGTATACGACAAAGTAAATGACAAGTGTCATCCGAGGAAATAGCGACCTCTTTTTCAAACTGGAGTACTCCCGCCGTGACCTCGAGCGCGCTAGCGTGAGCCGAAGTGTCATGTAAGTCATTTAAAAGCGGCAAATGTATGTTATTAGGAACTCCGTACTTACGCATTATAAATGGTCTATCGAATAATATATGATAAAGTTTACTTGAACTCAATTTTATTATTGGAAATTTTGAGGGTAAAGTCTAGAAAATTTGGTTTTGTCAAGCTAAGGTTAGTTTTCTCTATTTGTAAAGAAGGATGATAGATTTCTCTAAAAGTTCTTTCGAAATGCGATGCATCTTTAGAGACATGTAGTATGTCATCTATATACTGTAAGTATGATTGTACAAGTTAGTGCTATGACTCTGTCTATGACTGTCAAGTTAGTGCTATAACTGACAGTGCTAGAGTTCTCGTCTGTCTTTTTAAAAACTCAAATTCCATGTATGATAGAGTAAGGTCCGCTATCTGTGGACTACATGAAGCTCCCTGAGGTATACCCTTTATTTGTTTATATATCACTCCACCAAAATACAGGTAGCTAGACTCCAGTATAGAATCTATTATATAAAATATGTCTTCAAGTTGATAACATCTGCCCTGTGCCGTATCTGCATTAACATACGATACTTTATTGTTATATATTCTGATATATTTACATCCTCTCATGCATAAGCTTACAACTTTTCTGACATTAGATCTGACCACGTTATGTGGCAGATTGAACAAACTAGAAAAGTCGGCTGAATGTATTTCTAATTCTTCATTTGCTGTCAGCAGTTCTTTCAACACTTGATTACTATTTTCTATAGCCCAAAAATGTTTTTATACTAGCTCCTTGATGAATAACTTTACAATAGTTCATGAAATGCTTTCTAATATGTGCAAGCATTAATTGCAGTATGTTGTAAAGGGGCTTAAGCGTAGATCTCTTTGCTCCGATAATATACCGGAACTCAATGGGTGTCTTGTGCATTTGGAATACCATATATTCTAGGTATAACATTCTCTACATGTTTGGTATTCAAACTATTTAATAGTCTTATTTGTTTTTCCTGAGCTTGATTTTCTAGCAGGGTGGTTCTTACATATATAGAGCCGTCCATAGCTGACTGTTTCATTTCTTTTCTCGTCATTTGAAGATAAAATTTCTTGCATGTAAAACTGTAATTTGATGTAGCCTTATCTATTGGAGCAATGACGAAATGACGTTGTAATACACTGAGAGCATTCTTGTCTATAACATCGTTCTCAATCTGTTCTGGACTGTACAAATCAAACATTTTAGCTTTAACTTTCTTTATAAAGTGTTCCAAATCCCTAGCAGGTTGTAGTTTGATAGAAAAGTTGACTTTAAATTTTTTGATGTACTTTGTTGCTATCTGTATTACCATTTCATCTAGCACTTTCAGAATATCATCTTTTGTGATAATTGTATGCGACCTATACTTAGTACCTTTCTGAAAGATAGATCTTAACCTCTTGTTTCGTATAAAATTCAGATTTCCTGTGCAAACATGCTTGTGATATTCATCAATGAATTCGTAGTATTTACTACACTCACATTCTTGCTCTTCAATGAGTTTCATATTATAGTTGTCAAGTCTTTTAAGGAAACTGTTGTAGTTGAACATTTCCAAACCCACTGGTTTACTCAAATTGTATCGCAATGATATATTAATATTGTTAATTTGTTCTTCATCTTGTACAGTGTATCCACTTACAATCCTTTTTGTTCTTGTATCATTACAGAGTTTATGAATTTTGAATCTATCCAAAACATCACCTAAATAAAGTATTGTAATGACTAATTCTTCTTGTGTAGTTTTTAATCTATCTTTTCTTTTCCAAAACGGCGTTGCAATCAATGCATATATCTTGAATATCTTTTCGAACGGTAACAACGCAAAATCAAAGGCAAAAGCAAATCTATCAGCCTTATTACGTCTTGTTACGTCTTGTTATTACGTATTAAGTGTTCTAAAGTATACGAACAGTTCGTGACTTTGTAGATTATTTATATTTTCTAAAATTTCTTCCGTTTTATCAGGATATGTATTTTTCTTTCGAGATCTTCTTTTCTTTCCTCTGAATCTTCTGGTCTCAACTGGACAACGAAAATATGGATGTTCTTTCTTCTCCAGTGGATTTACGTTGTCTGATATACAGGGTGTCCGTAAAGTATGTATACACTGTTTGATTGTTAATATCTTTCTTCTCAACAAGTCTTTTGCCTTGCTTCAGGTACCGTTTTATAGAGCTGGCTTCAACTTAGTTTTGCAGTGTAGAACGAATCACCCATCTCTCTTCATTACTGTAGGATTACGGTAGAAACTTCAAAGAGGGTTTTGAGCCATGAAAGGACATATTTTGCCTCAGAAAGGAAACAAAACAGCCTGAAAGCTTTTGCACTAGGCTAATTAAAGTTGTTGATTCTAACTGTAAAGTTTCCAACTTATTATGATGCTTAATTGAAGAGTTATGCCGGGTAATAGGCAGCGGCCATTTTTTCAATGTTCCTAAAAAGTCCTTTTACACCATTTAAAAAGCTTCGCAATCTTGTGAATAGTTGACTATTGAACTCAGCGTCAATAAAACCCTATTACACAAGTTTTCACACTTTTTTGAAAAATTTTGAGACGGCAGCTTTTTCCACATTGGCACCATATGTTTCAAGTTGCTACCTAATCCTACAGTAATGAAGAGCGATCGGTGAATCGCTCCATACTGAAAATTTAAGTTGAAGCCAGCTCTACAAAACGGTACCTGAGGCAAGGCAAAAGACTTGTTGGGAAGAAAGATATTAACGATCAAACATTGTATACATACTTTACGGACACCCTGTATTACCGAATCCTTTGATTTGGTCATTAAAACCCAATGGATATGCCGTAATAATATATTGTATCCACTGCAATTCTTTATCCCTCAAATGTTTCTTTGCATTATCATTTTCACCAACATGATCTAATATGTCTATACTTATTTGTTCTGGATCATGTCCTGTCATTTGGAAATGTTTCACCATAAAAGTATTTAATTTCCCTTTTCGAAAACTGTTGCGATGCTGGTTGATTCTAGTCTTCAATACTTCTGTTGTTTCTCCTATGTATCGTAATTTGCATGTGCGACATGTTATATAAACAATATTTTTTCACAGTTTTCGGGTTTACTACTTTTATAGTAGTAATTTGTTACAGAACTTTTGACTATATTGCTGAAATTAGTTTTATCACATATGTGGCATTTTCTTCTCTTACATCTTGATCCTGTAT